TTTTTTTTAATAGTTCATTATTTATGCAGATGAGTTGTTAGATTTTTGTTAATTTTGGTCAGGGACTATAAATTAATGTTTTACTCCTTTGCTAAAATGTGGTGGCATTCCGTCTGGAGCTATTACAGGTTTGTCATCGATGGTACGATATTTTATCTGCTCCGGGTTTCTGGATCAGTTACATGATATACCGATCATTGGATTTGCCTCCCAGTTTCTTACGAAATGAACCTTCACTGAATATCAAGAAAGTTTCTCTAAAGCAGGCTTTTAGACGAAATTTAATCAGCAATCCCAGTGGTGCTGATGGATCTATGCGAGGCTGGGAGTTGGGTGAAGATGGCGGTGATGGGTAAAGTTTTAATTCACTGTTTTGAACTTTTCGAAAGATAAAAAAAGGTTCACTTTGTCCACAGATATTTATAACTTGATTTAAATCTTCAGCTTGATATGGTAATGATTCAGATAAGCAGGATGAGCTCAAGAAAGAGGAACCTAGAATTAATATACGAATCGAATGAGCTCTTACCGTTTTTTTAATACCGTTTTTTAATTTGGGCACAATTAAACTCGAATTATTGCTTTTTCTGGATTTTGCTTATTAAAATTGAAATTTAGATTCAAAGTCGAGAGACCACCATTAGGTTGTGTGAATCCGGAAGATATATCAGTTGCATTTGCGACAAGTTTTGACTGGTGTAGTAAATTTCAAGTCATTGATTTGTGGAAGAAAGGGATTGACGTATCTATTTTCCTTCGTCTTTGTTTCTTTTTTAAATTAAACCTAGTTCAAATTAGTTATCAGCAATATCTAGAACATCTTAGATGGTTTTTTTCTTACTTTGTTGAGATAAGCCATGAAAAAAACTTCTGCAGAAGGGTTAGAATATGGCATTTTAAGCATTTCAACTGATCATTAATTTACTTTCTAGAAATCTGACCCTCAGTAAATATGATAAAAAACTTTTCCTTTATATATCATCGAACGGATTTCATTTAGCGTACTTTCCTGGATAAATTTTGTCCACCAATTACTGTTTCGGAGTACTATAATTGTCGCTTCGATTGCGCATCAATATACTTATTGGAAGTTCAGCTACTTCCTAATGGATCGATGCCTTTGGAATTTAGGCCAATGCCAGGACTTATCAATTGTTCTCAGTACCGTCGTCTTAGTCAAGAACGTAATGTACCGGTACGTGATGAAACAACCGATACTTCAATAACCCGAGTTCGTATGTTGAGAGGTGAATCTTTATGTGAATTTCATTTTTTTCATTTTATTGAAAAGAATATTTAAGGCATGATAAATTTCTATAAAGTTCGAAATATGATTGTATTTGACAGACAAATGAATGTATTGCCACTTTTTGATAATATATCAATACTTATATTGAATGAATGTAAATCTATCGTTTGTTTCATATCAACTCTGCACATATTTTATAATCACATGCGCTTCATTTACTGCATATGACTCGCCGATGATTTTTTTGTTAGGTTTTAGAAATTGAGTGGCAAAAGATTGAACATACATTTTCGAATTATCCTAAAGGAATTCGTTACGTATTATTTCAACACAGTGGAAAAGATCAGCAATTTTGGGCTGGACATTATGGTTCAAAAATGGCTAAAGCTTCAGTTATTGTAAATTATGTGAATGAAAAACGAAGATTTATACCTTGATGAACACAATTTCGATAGTTTGATGAAAGTTCGATTTAAATTCTATGTGATTTAAATTTATTTACTGCTTTATATTTATTTTTATTGTTTATTTGTTTGAATTATATTGTATTTACGGGCTTGCTCTTGAATATAGTGATTATCCATTTTATTTTTTTTTAATTTCACTATTTACATTCTCTCACCCTTGATTTATCTCAATTACTTTTGTCAATTCTTCATGATGGGAACTATCATGGCGATTATTTAAGAGCTGTGCCATTCGTCCCTTTTATTTTTTTCGTAAGTTGTATTTGGTAATTAGTGTAATTTTCCCTTTTCTAAATCTTTTAAATCTAATTTCCCGAAGCAGGTTGCTTTGAAGCTTACTTTCATTTCCAGAAAGTAAGTTTCAAAGTAATCTGTTGTTTTTAGGAAGCAGAATTGGAATTATTTATCGAGAACGGAACATTCAAAATTCTTGCGTGGTCATTCTACTAAAGAAAACAAAATGTTCGTGTATTTCGTCTCAATAGCGTTTAAGAGGATTAATTATAATTACACCTGTAGTTCTTATCCTTATCTCTTCTATTTTTGTTAATTGATAGCTTCTGTATAACGACTAGTAAAATTTTTATTTTTTTTTTTAGAAGGGTTAGAATATGGCATTTTAAGCATTTCAACTATTTTTGTGCAATTATATTAATGGGGTATTATTTTTTGCGTCTTTAATGAATAATTCTTTAAATGAATGGATACCTTAAAGGATCAAAAAACAACATATCGTTTGATAGTTATAAGAAAAATTGCATATTTCTTCTTCTGATTTTACTATATATAACTTTGGAATTTGGAATTACTGGAAATTGGAGAGGGAGCGGAATTGAATCTTATACGATTAATAATTCCATTTTGTTCCATCGTCATTCGATCCTTCGTTTCATTTCTAATGTATTCATTAATAATCTGCAATTCATGTGTTATAAAGCATGTTTTTTGCGGAAGGTAACTTTGATAATGTTTTTTGCTTTTTGCTTGTTATTTATCAATGCATTCCTATTAATTTTTAGATAGCGTTATGTATTGTTTCAAATGTTTAGTCTTCTATTTGCAATAGTTTTTGCTAGCAGTGGTCTTGTATTCAACTTCATCAAATCTTTAAATGTATTTCTATCGTTTTGATAGATCGGTAAAGGCTCTGAAAAAAGTTTTTTTTTGAAAATTGCATCCTTGATGGCACTGCCTAAATCTTTTTCTCTTGTGGCTCTATGCATCTATTCAGCCATCTAACGAAACCTATAAAATCAAGTTTCTTTCTTTTTTCCTAGCCTCTATGGAAAGCTTAAGAGATTAAACTATAGGTTGACGAAAAAAATGAAATACTGTATGGTAGCTACGATTCCCTCTTTTCATAGATGCACGCTGCCTGACTTTTATTAGCATAAATTGTATTCATGATTTCACATCGCATTGCTTCTTATAATTTACGTAAATTTTTGACATAATAATAAACTATATATTTCCCTTTTTTTTGAAAAAAATTCACGAGAATTACTATATTTTTCAGAGTGTATATTTTTCAAAAATAGCTGTATTTTTCAGAGTTTCAGACCCGCTCCTTATTTTTCTCAGAATCATTTTCATTAAAGTTTTAATTTCCTCAAAATTTTGCTTTTTTTGAAACATCATAGAAAGATTCAATTTCAGTGAAGGCGACCAATCTTTGCGTGAACCTTGTTACAAGAATAGGTGCTATATATGATTGAAGTATGCTTGGAACTTTGTTGATGAAAGAGTTCTGGATGACATCCATTCTCACAAGAAATTAATAAAAGTTTCATTTTACATGATTCGGCGAATATTCAAGGGTCTGTCTCAGCGAATTTCAAATTATTTCATCCTGTTAATCTTTTCAGGAGTGAATCGTTACTGTTATTTCCAGGATGTTTCAGAGATGATGATCCCAAGACCTGGCGCAAATGTTAATGCTGCACCTCTGTTTGCTACCCATCTTAATGCACCATCTTCCAGTGTGCTAATGGTGTGGTCACGAAATCACCAGCAGCTTTTCATTATTATCGGCAAATGTAATGGTGATGTTAGTCTTTTTAGCTTTTTCTGGCATAGATAATATTATTGGCATTTGAGAATTCTGTGTTTGAGTTTAGAACTGAAAAGATCAGCGCAGAATTGAGGATTGCAATAATTCTTGTATGGCTTGTTCATGAAAGCATAGTACATTAGTAATTGTTCTAGAATCATTTTGACGACGGTAAGCCGAATGTAACAACAACTTTCTTTGATTTTGGGTAAAGTCGAAGATGGAACGCAAGAATATCGTTCCAGTTCTTGTTTATTAAGCTCTTTTGATAGGACATAAAGAAATGGAGATTTCTATGTAGCTTCTTTCATACAAGAAGCTATACAGAAATCCCTATTTCTATGTAGCATCTTGTATGAAAGATCGATGGTGATTTTTATCATTTTAAAATTCTTGTTTGATTATTTCAATGTGACCTTTTTTTTGCTCGAATTTGTCCTTGTTTTTATTCTACTTCAAAGCTTTCCCTGTAAAATAAACCTTTTATTCATACTTATCTTTTAACTATGAATCTTAGTTTATTTCAGTTATTATTCTTTACGCCTACTAGGCAATATACGAAATTGGAAAATATCTTTAAAAGTCCTTTGACAACAATTTGCTTTGGGAAACTAAGACAAAACAGGTCGGTTTATGGAGCAAATTTAGCACAGTTCCTTAGAATTTAGTACATTTGTTTGCTCAGATCAGAATCTTACTTTTAATCTTGATTAAAAAGAGGTAGGCTCATAGCTATAGCCGAAAAGTTCTTACTAATTTTAGTATCGTAGAATAAACATCGAAACGACTGATATTATGAATCTTCTCCACTTCCACTGTACTGTTATTCTGCCAAGTATTTGATGTATACTTGCATAATCATCATCTTCGGCTATTTTTAGTGATGAGATAGTTGCCATTTCGGCAGGTGGTCAGATACGTTCTTTCGATTTCCCACAGACGGATGCTCAGAGTGGAGAATTGCATAAGCCTTTGCCACTTTTTGAGCAGCTCGTTCAGGCCAATATATGCACGTCATATATTGGTGATATTGATTGTGATGGTTTATCGGAGTTACTGGTTTTGATGACCGATCGATGCGGTTAGTTATTTTTTCTGTATACACTCTCAAATTTGTTTCATCTTATTTGCCCTGAAGTATTTTATAGCATGTTTAAAATATCCAAAGACAAGGTCGATCCGTTCGATTACATAGGGTCTTGTCTCCATAACTATGATGAATACCACAGATCTTGAGAATTAGAAAATCATGGTCTTTTTTAAATATAAATTTTAGTAAGGACTTATCGATATGTTTCGAATCATCTGGCACCACTGAATAAATATGAAGTACCATCACATGTTTATGGCTTCGCATTAGGTACCACAACTTCTGGCTTGCATTATGCACTGCTGGCAGAACGAAATGAAAATTATGTGGTGAAGATCGATTTTAGTTCAAACAGTTGTAATATTTTGCCACAAACATTGGCTTCGAATTCTTCGAATCGAGAGCTTATGGTCCCCAGTCAACCGATATATTTGAGCTTGGTTGGATCACTTGCCGCTCGTCTGATTCTGATCGATTCAGGTTTTCCAATTATCTATTTTGCATATAAAATAGTAGAATTAGTGCCATTACTTCGTTAGAATACTCTGCTATTAAAGATGTTACAGGATACCACTAGAATCATCTGAATTGCAATTGCATATTTAAATAATTCTAGCGATATTCTACATTTGCTGTATTCGAGGCATTCTCAACTGTTGCAGAAAGTGGTGCTGAGACAACACTGGAGAATCCGGTAGGCGATTTCATTTGTGCAACTACTGTTAAGTTACAAAATATGTATGTCGTGATGACACTGGATATTTTCGGTAATTTGCTTATTTATGGATGGAATGATAACACCGTAAGTTTTTATATAAAGAAATTTATATAAAGAAAACTGTAAGTTCTTATATTATATGTTACTTCTTTTTTTCTCAAATTGAAAGCTAAAAAATTTCACTGTTTTTGCTCTAGCTTCTTTGCGTCTTAATTATTAGATTTTGGAAGAAGTTTCAAATCATCTAAAGTTGAGTTTTTTGATAAGTTGCAGACTTGCCAAGTGCATCTTATAACAAAAACGGTGGTTCTGCCGGATGCGGATCATATCACAGCTGTATCAGGCCGGAATGAAAATGAAGTTTTAGTTTGCATATGTACTGTCTACTTCAAAGTCGCTGTTTATCGAATTGATCTCTCATCTATACTTAGTTGATTTCAAATCCTATTTAGAAGTTTCTATGTAAAAAAAATATTGGAAAGATGATTGAAAGTGATGAAAAGATGGAAATAAACTTCTGTTTGCTGAATCGAATGTTTCGGTAGTGTTGTTGAACTCATGTAAAACTTTTAGGATTGGATATTTTCTTAGAATAATATTTCAAAACAACAGTTTTTCTATCCGTTTCAAATTTCCTTCAATTCATCAATCCAAATGAATTCTAATACTGAATTTTGGACTTTTATTGAAGTATTTGGATGTTTCAAATCGAGAGAAATAGAATATACATACTGTGTAATAGGAATTTTGAAGAAAATATTTTCTTCTAAAAATTTGGATATTTGTTGATATTTATCACACTAGTCTGTCTTGTATCAATCATATCGTAGATTGTTATAATTCTGACGACAGCTGTTCTCGACCCCTCCTTCATGGCAGAAATTCCAGAAGTATTTATTGTTATTATTGTCCTCCTTTGCCTCCCCCATCTACGCCCCATTTTTTCTTAAATAAACATTTCTTTCTGTCATTATAGGTCCAATGTAGGGAAGTAAATTATTTCAACAATTTGTTAAATTCCTAAAAGGAATTCAAGTTGTATTTAATCATGCTTCTTAAAATATATTTAATAAATTAGAAGGAGCAGATGAAGAAATACATGTAAATATGTTTTTGTCGATTGGTAGACTTTCTTATATCATTCCATTCAATCTTAATCATGTCCTTTTTTCTTCTCTCTTTAACTTGTTGAAAATCAGAAAAGCAGCATTGTTTAGCAGGATGAGCTAAGCATATCAACTTGGAAGTTATTATTATTCTTAATTCTTCTGAAGGTGCCGATGACATGTTGCGCTGAGTAATTGGGAACGATTTCTGATGAATTGCTCGATTTTTCTCAAAATCTTTCATCTTTGCATCGTGCAATTTTAAATAAGTGTTAAATTTCTTGTTTTTTTTTTCTTTCAACTAAATCATGAAAAAATTGGTTCTTGAAAATTTTTCAATTTTTAAACATTTCAAATTTCATAACTAACCTTTGACATTCTTTGCCTTTTCCCAAATTTTTTTCAGAGATATTTTTTAACGGAGAAATTTAATATTAAACAAAGAATGGGAGTTATAAAAATAAAATGTACTGCGAGGATATGTAGCATAGCTGAGTTTATAACAAAAATTTTCCCGACATTACGCTCTGATATGAATTTTTAAAAAAAATACAAATGATAAAACATAAAGAATAAATTATATTGTGTGAATAGTTGAAATGAAGACAGCGAGTGGGTTATTTTACAAATATTCCTTCTCAAGTTATCAATCATCAGGCGTACAAATGCTGCCATTGTCGTGATGACATATGCAAATTATTTATGGATACGTCTATTAATTTGATTTTAATTTGTGATATGTTAAAATGTTTATTTTCATGATTCGTGAGGTATTTCCGACATTTCTTTTCATTTTCTGTGTACTGCTTTACAATCATTTCAGACAGGAAGTAGAGTGCTAGTTTTTTTTGTTGTTAAATTAGCCATAGCTTCATCATTTGTTGCAGTTTAAATGAAAGCATATTAGCTGGAAAAATTTAACATTATGCAAGATAAGATACTTGAACGATATTTATTCTGTCTCATCTTGCAAATAATATTTACTGGAGTTAATCTTGACTTCCATAGCATGCATTCACGCATATAGAATTGTAGCTTATTGGCTACTTCCAATAATAATGTTCTATTTAGTTCAAAGTCCGGTGTATAGAGAAATGTTTGGTTAAACAATTCAAAAACTTAATGTTATATTACGAGTGATGCATTCTGTAAGCAATTGCATGTATGTGTACGTGTGTATGTGCATTTGTGAATTCTCACTGTAGAATACGTGAAAACGTGTTATCGTTTTTAAGACATTAATAGTTCATCATTACATTGATATTAAAAAAGTGAAAAATGCAAAAATGATTTTAACGAAGCGTTAATTATTGACATAAGATATTTTATTCGATGTTCAGATAGTTGATTAAATTGTCCATGAAAAAGATTAGTTTAAGATAAAGTGATTCTCTGAAGACATTTACAATTTGATTTGACTAGGACAGTTTTGATAAGTGTGATATTATTTGAGTGTTACAAATGGAATTTTGTCTTATTTACTGATAATTCTCTGGTTTCTTTTAATTGTTTATACTCAATAAAATGAATAGGTAAACAAGGAAATGTTTGATATGGTGAAATTTATAAGGGAGGGAGAGAGAGGTTATACATTATTATTCTATAATAGTTAAAATTGAAAATTATTAATAATGGTTTAACTGCTTTTTTTGATTTATTATATTATATTTTAATATTTTTGATTTCTTTCGTCAAAAAATTTCAAAAAGCCTAGCATTTTTCCTTCCCAAACTTTGCGTTATCTTAATTTCCAAACTAATATATCAGTTAAGAATTGAGAAAATATTTTAGAAGAAACTTTAAAGAAAGTTACATTTTCAATTGGATGGAAATTGAATATTGATGAAATGAAGTTATGCCTCCTTTCTGCTTTTTTTCAGTAAATGTTTAGAAAAAGCTAAACAGAAAGGGTTAAAATATTCTGCCGAAATGTTTTTAGTAATGCAATTTGTAATTCTATATTGCGAGAAGAAACGAAATAAAAGAGATGGAAAAAAGGAGAGACTCGTAGTTTCTCGCATTAGTAACCGCAATTTCTGACTGAAGTCAATTTTCGAGATATTTCAAAGTTCGGTTTCTTCTAGCGACGGCAGGACTATTCCACTTCGCCTTTTAATGCTCGATAATTGCACCCTCATTATGCTTGAAATTTTAATAATTTATACAAAAACAAAAATCTA